CATATGGGATTAAGGCTTCCTCTGCACAGCACTTAACCACTGCGCTATGGGGCTGGCCTTCCTGTATTTAAAGCAGGGCCAGGTAAGTTTTTCCTGTAAAGGGCTGGATAGTAAATATTTTAAGCTTCATAGGCCACAAAGTCTCTGTCACAATTATTTAATTCTGGTTTTGGAGTAAAAGAATAAAAGAGATCAAAAGATCACTTTGAAGAGCTTGGAAGCCTGAGGCAAAGAGAGTGACAGCATCTTAAATGCTGGAAAGAGTCCACAGAAAAAGTCACCCTTGACCTGCAGCCTGGTGTTAGCAGCCAAAAACCAGAAGGTGGCAGCAGAGAGCTACTGAACTGGAAGAGACTCCTGTATTGCACAAAGAAAACCCTGTAAGAAAGGCAGATACTTAAGTCAAAGTGATGGTATGTATAGTGAAATTCTTATGTAGTTTTAAAATATGAAATGTCATCAATAACAGTAACACACAGCAGTTAAATAATGATCGTAGAACTCAGTTGTCTAAATGCAGTAACGTTAACGGTATGTTTTAAAGATATGCTTGTATGTGAAACAGAATAAAATACAAAAAGTTGCTGTCCATTTCCCAGCTCTGAATCTAAACAGAGTTATTTGGGACATTTGTTTTTTCAAGACATCTGTTCATTTCTCAGATGTTAATTTCTGTTTTCAACTTGGTTTTTGAATGACCTCTGCCCCTTGGCACTATGATGGGAATTTTTTTTTTCTTTTTGCTATGGGGATGTGCGCTCATTAGAGAGAAACAGAAAGAGACAGTGAGGGGGAAAGTGAGAAATCACCCCCCACCCAGGGGAAATGGCCACCCTGCAGTCCCTTCTCCTTAATTCTCTTCCCGTAGGATTTTGGGCTTGCACATACACGTGCCTAGTGTGATTTATCAAACTGGCAGATCCAGAACTAGGATCACAGTAGCCCATGTCAGAGTCCAGTACCTTAACCACCACACCACCTGCTGGCCCCTATGATGGGAATTCTTAAGCTCTAGTGACGTGGAGTGTTGTGAGGCAATTCATTGGAATCACTTGCAGAACTTTCTCAGCGAACACCTTCCTTCCTCGGCAGCTGTAAGTCATTGGTCTAGTAACTATTCCATGCACCCTTCATTTAGATCTCTTTATTCTTGGGGTTGCAAATATAAAATTTCTTTCTTTTAGTGGAGAGAGAGAGAGAGGATAGAGCACATTCAATGCTCTGTGCTGCAAACCCATATCGAAGCGAAAAGGGGAGTAAACACGAAATAGAAACAGAGCTAAGCTCAGAATCCAAGCAACAGCATTCAGTGACAAAAAGTCACTTAACAGGGGAACCAGTAGTTAGCGTAATGGCTATGTCGCTGGACTCCCACGTAGTCTACCACGGTTCGCGTCCCAGACCCGGTGGCTTAAAACTCACGCCGGGTGCGTGTGTGTGCGTGTCCATGATCCCGAGAGGAGAATGGAGGAGAAGGGATTGCGGCGTGACCATCCCCCCTGGGGGTGATTTCTCGCTTTCTGTCTCTCTGTCTCTCTCTGTCTGGCGAGTGCATGCGCCCTATAACTAAAACCTCTCTCCAAAAAAAAAAAAAAGTCACTTAACAGAAAGTTGGAGAACCCCATTTAACATTTGAAATCATCAAAGGAAGACAGTCTTTAAAGAATTAAAATATTAAAGCAAATGTGAGATTTATACAAGTAACTGTGGGATGGACTGATTTAGAGGGACAGAGTAATTGATATTCTCGATGAGAATATCACACTTCTTGGTGACCTAGATCCTAACAGAAAAGTCCTTTTTTTTTTTTTTTTGGAGAGTTTTTACGCACGTGCGCTCGCCAGACAGATAGAGAAAGACATAGAGACAGAAAGCGAGAAATCACCCCCAGGGGGGATGGTCACGCCGCAATCCCTTCTCCTCCATTCTCCTCTCGGATCTTGGGCACACATGCACACGTGTCCGGCGTCAGTTTTAAGCCACCGGGTCCGGAACGCGAACCGCGGTTGACTACGTGGGAGTCCAGAGACATAGCCATTACACTAACTGCTGGTTCCCCTAACAGAAAGTCCTTGAGGCAGCTCAACCTAATTCTAAGAAAATAGAATTAAATAAAAAATTAATTAGTTAATCAGAATCCCCAAAACACAGAAATACATTTTGACTCTTTGGTGTAATTATTTTTTTAGGTCGTAAATTTAAAGTTTTTTTCTTTGGTAGAGTCAATCTAGTAAGATCTTCCTCATTCATAAAAAAGGCAGAAGTAGGGACCAGCAGTTAGCATAATGGCTATGTCGCTGGACTCCCATGTAGTCAACCGCTGTTCAACTCCTGGACCCGGTGGCTTAAACTCACAGCAGTCTTTCTGGTGAGTGCACACAGGCTATAGCAAAAAAAAAAAGACCTCTCAAAAAAAAAAAAAGGAATACAATTTATTGAGTTGTTGGAAAAGCCATGATGTGTGCTTTTCTATGTAAAAATGTGTCATGACTTTTCTGACAACACAATATCAATAAAAATTAACCTTTTTCTTAGCTCTGAATTCTAAGATAAATTAGCTGCATTTTTTTGTTTGCTTGTTTGTTTGTTTTTTGATATAGGGCATGTGCATTGGCCCGCCAGGGGGATGGCTATGCCATAATCCCTTCTCCTCTATTCTCCTTTTGGGATTTTGGGCACACACAAACACACGCCCAGTGTGAGTTTAAGCTGCCAGGTCCAGGACTCAAACCATGATCAACTACATGGGAGTCCAGAGATGTAACCATTACGCCATCTGCTGGTCCCAGTTGCATAGGTTTAATAACCATCTTGACAATGTGACTCTCTATCTCTTTTTAATTTAAAAAGCCAAGCAGTGATGATCAATTTTAGCTATTACTTTTACAAAACTTCATGAAAAGCCAGAGATGTAATAGCAAATCATAATTCAACAAAGGCTAGCGAAATGAGGGCAAAAGTAATATCCTGTAGATTTGACTGGCTATGGGCGTAAATCTTTCAGAATCAAAATGAATGACTTACTAGAATGTCCATTTTATAACCATTTAAAAATATTATCAACGGTTTCTTCTAATATTATTATAGAAGAAGTATAATGCATGAATTAAGCTTTAGTGTATTAGAGCTGTTTGGGTCTGTTAATTGAACTAGAGATGTTCTAAGTACATCTATAATGGCAGAAATTATGACCAATAAGAAAACTTTTCATGAAGTTCTGAATTTTATTTTATTCAAATTAAGGGCCTATGAACCTTGTCTCAGGGGTGAACAAATAATATTTGAAGGTAGAGTTAACATTGTTCTCTAAATAGAAGTTTATGATTAATTAAAATATATAAAAAACAGTACTCAAGGAAAGTCATAGACCTCTAAACTCAAATTATGGACCTAATTACTATGGACTAGAACATTCTATACTACTTCTAGCATTAAAAATTATCCCCTAAGAAGATTATTTTGATGTATTGTGCTTGACTGACCAAAATTTAGGTCTAGTGTCTTACTGACTGTGAGGCTGGCATCAGATAATCTGGATTTCAAAATGCTATACAGTTACATAAAGGTATATTACTCTGAGCAACCCCCCCCCCGTAAGACCATCTTAATAGCAACTATTCAGTATTGTGAACATTAAATTAATTGAAGTAGATAGGATATAATAGGCTTACAAAAAATTCCCACTTGATTCTTTTTTTTTTTTTTTGAGAGAGATTTTTGCTATAGGGTGCGTGTGCTCACCAGAAAGAAAGAGACAGAGAGAGAGAAAGTGAGAAATCACCCCCCCAGGGGGAATGATGCAATCCCTTCTCCTCCATTCTCCTCTCAGGATTTTGGGCATGCACACACACGCACCCGGTGTGAGTTTAAGCCACCACGTCCGGTACTCAAACCACAGTCAACTACGGGAGAGGCCAGCGACATAGCCATTATGCCAATTGCTGGTCCCAAAATTCCCACTTGATTCTAGCACTATGATTTTATACTGGAGTCAAAGTGGCCTGATGTTCCTACTTTTTTTTTGCCAGAATTTCATTATGGTTTTGCAAAAAAACCCTCCAAGAACCTGTGGCTTGCATCAGTCTTCTACCAAAGTGAGAAGTACTTGATGTCTGTTGACAGCTTCCAAAGTTTTTGTTACAATGTCACATTCTTCAGAAAACTCTGTTGTTCACTCCATCAACACCATAACTGAATACATATTCACTTTTTATTTCCTTATCTTTTATCCCAATTTGCTAATTTTATCCTAGGATTTGGCCAAACACTTCTTTCCTGCTTAAGTCAGTTATTGGGAATAAAGGTATGGGGAAAAAAAAAAAAAAGACAAGTCATCTGCAATAGCTAGAAAATTATAGAAATTGCTAGATATCCTTGATCAAGATTGCTTCCACTCTCAGGCTGCCGAAATCTTATCTGGCACTTTACAAATGCATTAACTTGAGAGAACATAATTCAGAAATTCTACCTCTAGGGCTTGAAAAGCTTAATTCTAAAAGTTACTCCAAAAATGATATTGCTGTAATTAATTGTTAGGTGACACGGATTAAAGACCAATTTTAGACCAGCATCAACAGATATAGAAAGTTGCTTGCAAGAAAAATCAAGATGTTATGTAGATTCTCATTAATCAGTCAATGAAGGATAGTAAGGTTATTATGTGGCCAAAAACTATAAACTTTGTATAGTTTAAAGAATTAATACAAACCTAAATTATCTATGGACAATCTAGAGTTATTTATTTCTTCTAAAAGTGAGAAGACAAAGAGGAAGAGAGAGAGAGACAGACATTGCAAACAGTCTTGATGGAATAATCCACCCCCAGCCTCAGCTAGACCCAGATCATGGGCACATGTGTGCTTGATGTAGTCTGGGAGGTATCTGGAATAGGCAAGATTATTAATCCTTACATTAAAATATTACCATCAAGATTAAATCTATAAAGTTCAAGTTAATTCATTTTATTAATAAGAACAAAGAAGAGCACAAAGATACACCACCTTGAATTTTCTTCTCACTTCTGCTATTTTGTCTTCCAATTCGTCCGTTTTAACTTTGGTTAAGTAAAAAACAGCACTAATGCTATAAGCCTCCTTGTAGAGCTGTTTGAGAAACTTATCATTCTTTGCCTTCAGTCTAATCAAAGATTGGATTTCAGACTCATAGCTTTCTTTTTTCCTTATACTGTAAAAATAAAGCGGAAAGATAAATATTATTCTAAGACAGTATATTTTGATGCTAATATATTTTAAAAAGAGCAAAAATAAACAAGGTCATAATTTATGTTGCCAGTAATACAAACTTGCCGGACAAATAAGACTTAAATACAGAAAATAGATCCAAAGATTTATTTTATTTTTCTGTTCCTTCTGCTAGTTACCCATAATGGTCAGGCTGAATCCTATCTCAGAAGGATGAACAGTGGTAAGAATGCCTTGGTGTGTGCACATGTTTCATTTCCAGAACATTCGAAATCTCTTCTATACTTCCTTCCATCACTCTTTCTGACTTTGACAAAGGTATGTTTACTAGAAAATACTTTAAATATCCATGTATCAATGCCTCAGCCAAAACCATGTCACATACAAGAGTATGATTCCCCAACAGTTGACTTTTGAGGCCAGATAATTCCTTGTCATGAGTGATGTCCTGTGCATTGTAATAGCATCTCTCCACTAGACAGTTGCCTGCAACTCTCAGTTGTAACCACAAATATCTCCAAACACTCCCAAAGATCTCCTGCTGAGGAAATAAAAAATCATCCTGCTTAAGAACCACTTGATTAAAGCAATGGTTCTCAACTCTAGCTGCATATTATAATTGTCTGCGAAGTTTTTGATAAGTATTCATGCTTTCAGAAATTTCTAATACAGCTGGGTCTGGGGGAAAGCCCTAGCATCACTGTTTTTAAGCACCCTTGTTGATTAGAAGTAAACTGTTGATACTGACTGCAGCAGGATTTTCTCAAGCTTGGGTATGCATAAGATTCATATGAAGATGCTTGGGTATGCATAAGATTCATGTCACAGATTCCTGGGTTTTGCTCTCAGCACATGATTCTGTAGCTGGAGGAGGGGTCTGATAATGTGTTCCCAGCTGACACAGATGCAGACCACACTGTTAATGTAGTATTGCTTCAGAGGTTACAGTCAGGGTGAATATAAATGATTACTTCCCTTTTAATAGAACACCAAAAAGACTGAATTTGTGTGGCCAGATCAGCTAGTGGCGAATGGCAAGGAGCAAGTACAACTGATGACTAATGGCATCGATACTCATTCTTGCCTATTCCAGGGTAGGAGGTAAGGATGATGCAAAAACAAGAAAGTGAAACTGAGGTTTTACCTCTTTAGCAAGTGGTGCTGGAAAAACTGGATATCCACTTGCAGAAAAATGAAACTGGTGCTCAACTTTCACCATTAACAAAAATCAACTCAAAATGAATCAGAAATCTAAACCTAAGACCTCAAACTATAAAACTACTGATGGAGGGACCAGCAGTTAGCGTAATGGTTATGTTGCTGGACTCCCATGTAGTAGACCACAGTTCGAGTCCCGGACCCCATGGCTTAAACTCACGTCAGGCGGTGTGTGCGTGCGTGCCCACGATCCTGAGAGGAGAATGGAGGAGAAGGGATTGCGGCTTGGCCATCCCCGCTGGAGGGTGATTTTTCGCTTTCTATCTCTCTGTCTCTGTCTTTCTGGTGAGCGCACATGCCCAATAAGGAGGAAAAACAAAAAACAAACAAACAAAAAAACCTCTCCCAAAAAAAAGAAAAAAAAAATCTACTGGTGGAAAACACTGGAAACTCTTGAAGACATTGGGGTAGGCAAAATCTTCTTAAATAAGACCACCAAAGCACAGGCAGTAATGCCAAAAAGTAGATACATGGGATTATATCAGATTAAGAATTAATGAATCTAGGGGAACCAGCAGTTAGCGTAATGGCTATGTCGCTGGACTCCCATGTAGTCGACCGCGGTTCGTGTCCCGGACCCGGTGGCTTAAAACTCACGCCGGGTGCGTGTGCGTGCGTGCCCAAGATCCCGAGAGGAGAATGGAGGAGAAGGGATTGCGGCGTGACCATCCCCCCTGGGGGGTGATTTCTCGCTTTCTGTCTCTATGTCTCTCTCTGTCTGTCTGGTGAGCACACGCACCCTACAGTGAAAATCTCTCCAAAAAAAAAAATAGAATTAATGAATCTAAAATATGATACCGTGGGAAAAATCTGGGTAGAGTGGGTTGAATAGTGAATGGAATATGAGTTCACAGAAACAGGAATTTTTGCTACAGTAAATAGAAGGACAGAAGAAGGATGCAATACAAAGGTTTATTTTGTATTTGTTTATTTTGCACCATGAGCAATATCATGAAATGTTCACGTGTATATAAAGAGAAATACTGATTCCTGGGGAAGGGGAGATAATTGCACTGTGCAGGAGTAGGCTGGTAGCAGAAAGGTAATTCTCACTTGATTACACCCATACTCTATGAATTAGATAGGAAGATTATCTTGAAATGAGGGTGATGCAGGTAGAAGTATAAAAGAGAGAAAAAAGATACACAGCAGTTATTAGAAAAGCTGAATTGCTAGACATTCTTGGCAATGTGAGTATCAGAGTATCGCTTGAGAGTCATGGTCATAGAAGTTAAGTTCTACTCAGAAGCAAATTTATTGTGACGATAATACAGCTTGAACATGAGGACCTCTTTTCCTGGGAGAAGTCCTTTGAGTGTCCCTAGCAAGGTTTTCACAGGGTCATGTGTTTTTATAAAGTTTTTGAGACCAAGATTTTCTAACCACAATTAAGACCATTCTCTCTAATATAAAGTACCCTCTGTCAAGTGGCATTGAAGTGGCTGTAGGCATTTTGTAACTTAATACTGTATTCTTTTTAAAAAATCAATACCAGATGCCTTTAGGGCATACTCATCTAAGATCTACCCTGTTGAGACTAATTTGCATAGTCTTGTTTTCCTTTAGACACATTCATCTGCTGGGAATTGTTCAATGGAGTATGTTGCTGGGTTAGTTCAATGCAAGGGCTTTCCAGGCCATAGAAGCAAGTCTTGAATATTATACAATAAGTGCTTATTTTAGTAGACTATCACTAAGTTTTGTAAGAAAAGACAGAGAACAAGAAGGACAACGAATCAAATACAGTTAGGATAATATATTGGTCATCTTAGAGTCTAAAATAATTATTGGAGTAGGGTACCAGTAGTGTGAATCAGCTGGAAAAAGATGTAGAAGTTAACAGAGGTAGATTCTTAAAATGGACTCCATCATTGGAAAGGACAGCATGGAGAGTAAAACTGTCAGAGGGGGTGGATGGTGTAGGATGGGAGGAAAGATAGTCAGAATTGTAGCTATCTGAGAATTGAGTCCATGTTCTTGCATAGCCTGTATTTCAAGCTCCCATTTTCATTGCTTCTGCAGAGTTATAAAATAGGAATGAGAGGGTGATTTTTGTATAATACTTTAATTCCTGTGAGAAAAAAAATACATAAAAGTCTTTTAGGATCATGCCCTACCACTTCACCCTGTGCCTTAATTTCCTTATCTGGGGTAACTGATCTCTTGGCCACTGTAATGAACCCAGCCCAGCCCTGGTGAGAGCAAACAAAGTCCTCACCTGTTAGAGGTTCATGGTCAAGATAAGCCCTGGGGTAGAGGACACCTGAGCTTCCACAAGAATGAGACACAACTGACTCCAAGGAAAAATAATTACATCATCCCCAAATACACTCTCCTATTTTTCTGTAAAATATGACCTACTTGAATGACCTTCCATTCTGTTCCTATTGCTAGAGATGTGAATACAGAAAAATACTTGATGAGCAGAACCATCCAGTGAGCTATGTGGTAAATGGCCCCTACCGATCCTGTTCCTACTTCTATGTCAGGAACACTAGTGCATAGTGGGTGTATGGCAAACAGCTCTTGTCTGCCTCAGGGAAGTGAGTTCAGGCCAAATATTCCTAGAGCTCTCAGGGTTTCAAAAGAATCCAATGATACATGACCTTGCTTTTAAAACCTGGCCAGTGGATTTTAATTTTTACTTAGTGATGGGTGAGCTAAATAAAACTTAAAACTGATTTGGAGTCCTGAGTGAACTCTGGGACAAGAGAAAAAATGAACACAAAAACAAGATACAAATAAGGGATCTAAAATAAGCTAACATCCGAGTGATTAGTTAATTTTGAATAATGCACATACCATTTTTAATATTATTTTTATACTTTTAACAGCTGAAAAATATTTTTAAAGCAATAGTGTGAGAATATTTTTCAAAAGTTTTATGTGAAATGCTGAATAGAACAGAATAATAATCTATACTTCTGTAAAGTAACTCAAATTAATAGGCTGGTAAGATATAGCTAAATGCATATGAAAAAACACCATACCCTGGAGATAGATTCCAAGTATTCCAGACTATTTAACAACTTCAATAATATTCTAATTGCTCTCTCTTCAAATAAATCATGACCCTGTTAACTCTTGACAAACACATTTCATAAAAAAGTAGGCCAATATATCTTTATGGTACTCAATGGCTTTTTTGCTCATTTCCCTCGATTATCAACCCCATTTTGGATCACTGCAGTTACAATGGCATTGTCTTGCTTGAAGTACAGGAGAGCATTAGAAGTAGATATTCAGAATGTTTTACAGAGCTTGAACATTAAAAAATGTCCTTATAGAAATTTATAACACACAGTTAACTTCAAGCAAAGTAAATCTAAATTAATCGATTTCAAATCATCTCAAACAATTTCATTTTCCTTGACTTAGGTGACTGAAGTCTACCATGTGAATAAGCAATCAAGTGAAATTGTTTGCTCAAGTCAGATGTTCTAAATGTAAAGAGTTCATTTCTAATGGATACTGGCTGGTTTGAAAGACAAAATTATCAAATTATACACTGCTGTGACAAGGTAAACAATCATTTTTCATCATAATCATTTCCAAAAGATCTCGCATGTATTTGTGTACATAGGGTACTGAACAAAATCTGTTAACAAACACACATCTATCTTTGAATGTAGCCATTTTAAGGTGAACTATACATAAGCAACAAATTATATATTAAATTATGCAATTTATAAATAGTCTAACACCCTGGGCCTTCTGAGACAGTGCTGTTGTTGAATATTGGTGTACAGAACAAGTCCAACTGGG